TACTATGCTTACTCCTAGCCAACTGGTTTCATATGAATAGTGATTTTCTGTGTCTCTTTAATATTAAACATAGCCTATCTGAAAAGTACAGAGCAAATCTATTCTGAAGAATTTCTTTTTTCAGGCCAAAGATGTAACAGGTATTACTGCACTGTTAGCTTTTTGCATCATATCAAATGTGTCTTTAAAAATCATAATGTATTTAAGTAAACCAATTCTTTTAGTTTTAAAGGACTCAGTGTTTTCAATGACTCTTGACAATTGATGGTACTTTCAACTATTAGTTAACTCAGTAAGTGTAATGGTGATGTGGCCAATCAGACACATGCCTCTTTAATTCAATAAACACAATGTAGTTTAATGCATTTAAAGAGGAAATAAAGTAAACTAAAGACATAATGAATATTTATGTTCTGCCATGTGTTCTGCCTCTTAGGGCCCCTAAACCAGACCACTGAACCTAACAATAATAAATGAAGTCATTACATTATCATGTTCACTATTAGAAGCAAGTCTATTGTGGGTTTCCATGCCCTCATTATGGACAAAATAATTCAAGAACAGAATTATTTTGAATTTCCTAGAATCAAATTCTTACTCTAATTTTACCATAACTGAAAACTGAAGGGCATTTCACAGTGCACAAAGTCTTTTAATCATTTCTAAACACTATTTTCTTTGAGGTTACAGTATGTACAATAAGGAAAAAAAAACCTGAGTAAAATGACCTTAATAAATATTCATGTATATTCTCAGGGAAGAAACAGAAACCCAGGAAAGGAAAAAAAAAGCTGTGGGTTTTTCAACTGTTAGGGACAATGCATCCCTTTAGAGACTTTTCTTAGTTAAAAAAATGCTCAAAGTATTAAAGTATTTAAAAAACAAGTTTCAGAGTGATAATGAGAATTCAAGTCTTGGTCCTTTTCCTGGTGGTTTTGACACTACCGTCTTCAAGAGATTAAGGCTCTAAGAAACAACTATAAGGAAATTAGTTGCTACCTATTGATACTAACATAACTTGAGAGCTATTTTCTTTTATTCCTGATTTAGAAGGGTAACTGGGTCAACAAAACAAAAGTAAAAAGCATCATTTTAAAGAAGGTAAATGAATTGTTCTTTGTTCTGAGGTGTAAGAAAATTTTATAATAACTCCGAACCCAACCTTATTCAAACTGGAAAGCCAAGTACAGAAGGTAAAAATCACCTGAGGTTGGAGATTCAGAAGTTTTGTATTCTTTTCTGAGTGAGAAATAGTTACAGAAATAATACAATTTGTTTCTGAGGTTCTGTTGGTGGTGTTGGGGATTGAAATCAGGGCTTCACACTGAGCTACCTTCCCAGTCTTCTATTATTATTATTATAAAAGACATGGTCTTGCTAAGCTGTTAAATTGCCTATGCTACACTCAAACTTGTAATCCTCCTTCCTCAGCCTCCCAGAGTGCTAGGATTATAGGCTTGCATCAACAATTTCTTATGAACTCCAGTAAAGAGCAAAAATATTCTAGTAATAAACTGATAGTGCACTCCGCAGAGAAGCTGCACTACATACACTTTTGACACATACCTTAAAAGGAACTAACCATGTCCTTGAGCCCAGTGACAGTGAGAGCTTAACAAAACTGCCAAGACATAAAGGACATACTACTGCTGGGGAGCAATACATGTGGTGACCTATAAGAACTGCTTGGGAAAGTTACCATCACTTCCAGTATAAACCAATTCCTAGTACTTTACCAAAACTTTATTCTGAATGACTTACTTAAGGGATCAATACAAAATCAGAATGCCAATGTGACTTTTTAAATGACGCATTATTTTTCTGGTTTTGTTTTAATCATGATGGAATCTAGGTTTTATGATACAATTAGGTCAAAGTTTTTGATGCCCTTGATCTTCTTGCTCAAGTAACAGCAGTGTTAATACTGACACATATTTTTGCAAGCAAAGCTTCAAGGGACATATGACAACTGGATAGATTTTTAAGATATTTAATTTCCAAAGTCACCTCTCTTAACCTAAAAAAGCCCTTTTCCCACATCTAATTTCTAAGATTTCCCTGATTCCAAAATTCTGTTAACACAAATATCTTTTAAAATGATGGACAATATAAAATATTGGCATTAATAATATCTAATAATGGTGTTTGAAGTTTTAACAAACTATTAAAGGTGGATCTAAATAAAGTTTCAAGTGACATATCATTAAAAATAGTACTTATGATAAAACCAATAGTACTTTTTGATACCTCAGGGTGAGTTAGGAGAAATTGTATATAATAAACTTTTTTTACTCCTCCCTATCTGAAAATGGAACCAATTCTTCTAGTTTCCTTAAAAATAAAAGGGATCAATTGGAAGAAAATTGATAGTCAATTGTAGGAGTTAAATTTCAGTCATAAAACAGAGTTCCAAATCCAGAAATGAGAAATGACTATAAGGACCTCTGTAGTGTTAGACTAAAGGTATGTACGGTGTGGGACATAACACAGGTTTATATGTGAATTCTTTTAAAATAAAAAACAGGTGTAAAAAGCTGAAAAGGATTCATGAGAGAAATATTCAGGTACCATCTTCACCAAGTACCTGGTGACACACATGGGCCTGATAATAGGGTGCACAAAAACATTTGTGTGAAAATCATAACCTCGTACACTCATGAGCAAACAGCAGACAATCCAATTTAGGGAATAGTCTACAAAGCCAGGTCACAGAAAACACAGACAAATTTAAGAACAATCTAAAGTGGAAATATTTCAAAGGTTTGTTGACCAGTGAATAGTACAGTGCTTTGGCAGTCTGCATATGTCTCCCCAAAATCAACATGCTGAAGGCCCAGCTCCCAGAACCTTAAAATGTGGCCAGATTTAGAGATGGAGCCATGAATGAGATAATTAGGGTAAAATAAGCTGCGATGTGATTTGTGTCTCATGAAAGAGGACAATGGGACATAGACACACATACACACGTGGGAAAAACCAGGTGAGGCCACATGAAGGGGTGTCCCTTGGAAATCCCAAGAGGAAGGCCTCAGGAAAAATCACTCCTGACCACACCGGACCTTGGACCTACAGCCCCCCACCACTGGGAAACTAATTTTCTGTTGTTTAAAGACACTCAGTCAAGTATCACCAGTCCAAGTACACTAACAGAACACAAATATATAGTTCTTGATGTTTTCATTATGCAATAAAAAAATAATGCCTCTGGTTTTATTTACTTATTTGGGAGATAGTACTGAATGGTCTCTGGTTTAGAAACTGTAAGTTGGAATATCATATGCTACAGTTTACAGAAAACAGACTTGAGAAGGATAATTGATAAGAAACAAAAGTTCATCAAAGCATAAGCGGTAAATGGATCAATACTTGGGAACATAGGTAGAGATCTCCAAGAATTCTTTATGTTACTTTTGCAACACTGCTTTTGATGTAATATTACTTCAACATATAAAGCATAAAAAGTTATGCTAAGTGTAACTTCATTTTAACTATAAGTAAAATCCAGGAACAGATACATTGAATATTGTTGTTTGAAGGCACAATTTTCTCTTTAAAAATCATTTTCATCAGTTTTCACTTTTTATTACTCAAAATTGTTTATCAAAATTTTGTGATATAATTATGCTGTTTTGATCACATACTACACGTACAATATCACCACAAACCACAATGAATTTTTAACACTTACTATACATGTTTCCATAATTTTATGTTAGGGATAATTAATATAATACATTAAAGCATAACAGATATACATGTTCAGAAAAAAGTGAACAATTCTAAATTTTCCAATCATAAGATTTGGTTATTGTAATTTTAAAGGTACAGTAAAAATTACTGAGAGGCTTTAGTATTAGGTTATATTTAAAATGATGATGACTCAATATTCATAATGTACTAAAAATGGCATCTTTGCAGCTTTTAAACTAAATAAGAAACACAAGCTGTTCATATTTTTGTGCAATATACACAGATGCCAATGTGTGAAGCAAAACTATTAGTAGTAGCTTATTTTTGATGAGCTTCCTAACAATGTACCCTAGAAAGTAGCTTGATGACGTGAGCAAACGGGATTTGCATCCCACTAAAGAACAGTAACTGCATTAAAATGGTTATCCTTTATACAGTGTTATTTTTGTACAATTTTATTCTGAGTTATTTTTCACCTGTTTCCAATAGTTAGGCGACTGCTACTACAGAACCTAGTTCTATTAACAAAAAGCAATTTTTCTAACTTACTAAAGTAGTAACTACAATTTTGTTGGCTTAGCTTTATAAAAAGGTTACTAAACTTTCTGAATTTCAATTATGCCATTGAAGGATTACTAGAGTTTATTTCCATAAAAATATCCAACATAACTTAAAATATAACACTATAAAACAAAAATCACAAATTGCACCTTTTTGAAAGGTACAAATTGAATCTTACTTTGTTTTTCAGTGAACAGGCCAGACTGTGGTGAAGACTATATATGTTAACATTCAATGAGTCTGACAGACACTGTAAACAGTGCCTCAGTTTCCCTGATAAGCAAAGCTTCCCTGGTGGTTGGGAAAACATGAGTTATTTCTACCATCTTGTGCCAAATTCTCAAATGCGGTGCGTAAGCCAAACATTAAGGTTTAGATAACACTTTCTTTGCTCATTTCAGTAGATACACTGAACTATAAGCCACATTTCACCCACACATTAATTTCCATTTTTTAAACAAATTCACATCCGGAAGTGCAAAATATCAGGAGATTTTTTTTCTTTATTTCAAGGTATATTACGGCATTTCTTTTTTTTTTTTTTTTTTTTTGGTCTTTTTCATTTTTATCGGTACCAGAGATTGAACTCACAACTGCCTGCTTGCAAGGCAGGCGCTTATGCCACTGAGCTAAATTCCCAGCCCCTACAGCAATTATTAACATATGTACTATCAGCAACCACTGATCCTACTTTGTAAAAAATGTTATAAGTGGTGAGCAGTAAAATGGTATTAGAAACTGGTACTCACGTTAGCACAGTGTAAGGCCAGAGCACAGAAGACTGCAAACATCTTGAAATTGTTCTCATCCGTCTTGGAGAAGGCACTGCCGTTGATTTTGTTCACCATCTGTACCACCCCAATGACGCTTCCTCTGCTCACAATAGGCATGCACAGGATATTCCGGGTGGTATAGCCCGTGTACAAGTCCACTTCTCTAAATGAACATGAAAAAATAAAGCAATCGTCACGAGGAAAAAGCATCCAGAAGAAAATAAATTATGTATTCTATCATAAATCTCAATGTATGTGCTTGTATTACAAATACCTATAATACCATTTATAGGCTCCAAATTCAGGTATAAAGTGATATCTAAAGTATTTTATTAGAAGCTTTTAAAAAAATTCTAATTCATTTGTTATTTGGTTATTAAGAGCTTTCTAAAGTAGTCCCTATACACAGTTCCTGATTTATAGTTGGGCTGTTGGTGTCCAGCATCACTAAGCAGACAGGTAAATTCAAAGAAACATTATAATAAATTTGTAAAATGATAAAATGCCTTTGAACTTGGTCATATTCATGAGAGAGATAGTTTGTGAAACCAACTCAAATGTATGTCATACTATGAGCAGGGTTTTGCAAACTACATTCCATTGGCCAAATCAGGGCATTCTTGTCCTATAAAACACAGCCATACTATTCACTTAGGAATTGTCCGTGTGACTTGTGTAAAGACCTTATAGCTTGTAGAGCCCAAGATAGTTATTACCTTGTCTTTAATAGAAATGTTCTGCTGATTCTTGATCTGAGCAAATGATTTTGTAAATAGGACAGAGTTACACAAAATCCGCCATATAACCAAGGGAATGGCAGTCATGTGCAGAACTCAGAGCCTAGGGCTCTCATCTCCAGTGCTGTGCTTAAAACCCATCCATGCTGTGGCACCTGTTAGTCTAGTCATCTTTGTTAATGTTGTGTAGCCGTCTCTGTAGAACAGGCCAATTATATTTTATTCATCCATTTACCAGTCAATGGATAATATTATCTATGAATACTAAATTGCTGGCAATTATGAATTACATCCTTTGAAGACCTGAATAGAAGTCTTATGTGGGCAAATGTTTTAGTGGCATTAGGTCTTGCAATACCACTTAGGAACAGAGACGACTAAAAGACTGTTAAATAAGTGTATGTTTAAATTTTCCAGAAAAGGCACAACTCTTTTCCCATTAGGGGGCTTTTCCACTGGTAGTAAAAGTAGCAGGGTAGTCACGCATAAAACACCAATGGTTCAAGCCACCTAGAACAAGACAAGGAATTATGGCCCCACTGGGAATATGTTAGTGATCGTAATGCATCTTTTTTGTGAAGTGTCTGCTAAACTCTCCTGGTCTTCTCATTAAACTGGAATATCTTATTTCTATGTTGGAAAGTTTTTCATATATTCTGGATACAAATACTTTGCATGGTATATTTTGAAAATATTTTCTTCCACTCTGTTGGTTGTCTTTTCATTATCTTAATAGTCCAACTTGTAAATTTTTAGGTAAACATTTTCAATATTAAAGCAGTGAAATGACAAGTTTGTTTTATGGGAAAATAAAAATTTTATTATGTTCTCAATTTATAGGTGAAATATATTGCTAGAATATAGCCACATTCACATATATGTGAATTAGTCATATTTGATATTAATCAGTTGATGACATGAAAAAACTTTTTAGTTGTTTATAGTATTTACCACTTAAAGTAAACCGAATGTTTGTAACAACTAATTATTATTGTCAAAATATCTGAAATATTACCCACTAACTATAATAACATCAATTCTGAGAATTTAACTTTCTTGAGAGTTGCTAAAACCAGTTCATATAGCTTATAGTTCTTCAAAGAAGTCAAAAGGAAACAAAAAAACCCTTACAAGCTATCTTAATGTTCAACTTTAATAATATCCAATGAAAGCCGTGGCTTACTGAGTTCCTACTTTGTGTCAAGTTCCCAAATCTTTTATGAATATTAAATGTAATCTTTAAAATACTATAAAGTAGCTATTATAATACATACCCATTATAAAAATGAGGAAAATGAGTCTCAAATTATATAATTCACTCGAGTCTACTCTTCTACTAATAAATGTTACAGACATAATTCAGCGTCAGACTGGTTGATGTGAAAAGTGTGTAACTTTCCCCCTACTGTGTGGCAGCCTTTTAACATGTGGTTTGATAGAGAATAGAGTAGAACAAAATGTTGACACTGGAGTAAAAAAAAAAAAATCACTCTAGTGACACCAGTCAAAACTCTGTTAGCTGTTTTTGTAACATTATAAACTTCTGTAGCTGTATGTTACTACATACTGATAGTTCAGAATACTTCATTTTATGTATCTGAATACAATGACTTTGTAATATGTTGGTACACAGAAAAACAAAAAAATGAGGAGGAAGTAACTGACTTGAGACTTGAGGAACTGGGGCTGGTTGGAGAAGGCTTTCATGGGTGGGAAGTGCCAGGAGAAACTGCAGAAGAGACACGCCTTCTCACCTATTAAAGCGTGGATCTGCATACGCATCTGGGATGTTCAGGACTTCTCCTGTTCTTGCCACTTGACCCGCGATTCCTTTCTCAATAGAAAATCTGCACATATAAAAGAGAGAGACATGCTGATTAAAACACTGATGCTGTAGGGTAATTATGAAACATTCCATTACTATCAAATATTGAATAAAAACTCATAGCTTATTTTAAATGTACTTGTTACCTTTTCATTTATATATCCTAAATCATCTTAAAAATATATATCAAAATAAAGCACACAGTGATCATTCGGGAACCTTGTTTTAAAATATAATTCACAATACATTGGAATGTAATTGGATCACAAATTAAAAATGAAAATTTAGTGATCCCTTGTACTGATTACTAATACTTCCTTGCATTTCAAAGTACCTTATAGTTTACAATTTGTTTCAAGATATATTTTCTTAGTAGTTTCTCAGTGAGATGTGAACTGAGACTTATGTGAGTTCACCAACTTGCCAATATTCTCAAAGTAGTATAAAATCAATAAAAATGAAAAAGCACGTTTATACCACTGTGATTTCCACTACAAATATAACATAGATTATGTGCATAAAGGATTCATAGATTATGAATGCTTAGATGTATAGGACTTGAATTTTATGTTGTTTACAATCCAATTACTATATGCAAATATTACGGAAATAATTTTGTCTCGCTAATTTGTTAAATTTTAAAACAATCAAGATACAAGAATATAATAGTATTTTGATGGTAATATCAATATTTCCTTCATGTAAATATGTTCTCATGCTTATAAACATTTTGCACATTTTTATCAATTTCATTAGCATCACATACATTTATTTCAAAATTAAGAAAGATATACAAAATTTCATATATATATATATATATATATATATTTGTGATAGTTCAAAAGTAATTTTCATACATTGTCAACATTATAGGAAATAATCATTACTTAAATAAAGCTTAAATCATTACTTAAATAAAGCTCACCCTAAGGGAGATCAAGAAAAGTCAAAACAATTGACATAAATAGAATTAAAACATCAAAAGGTGAACCAAGCATTACATAAAATTTAAGGTTATCTTCTCAGTTTCCTTGTGTTTTGAACAGCATGAACATGACACATTAGATTCCAGGAACCAAGAATCAGAGTCCTTTTGGTGATGTGTGCTGTTGGAATTTTTCTGAGAGCTGTCTATACTGTTCCTTCCCCATGTTCTCTGTGGTTTCCTCCCTGTGTAAGGGCAGCCCATAATGAAGGACCATTCCCTAGGTAAGTGTCTGGCATTAACTCATTATGTTAAGGATACAGAGCAAGCATATTCCCATGTGTTTTCTATAATTATAAATCAAAATGAGATCAATATCAGAGTAGTTAGGTAACTCAAAACTTAAGGAAGATGAATGACTTTAACTTAGTGAATGTATCTAGACTAACAATATTGAGATTTAAAAACAAACAAAAAAAGAAACAAATTTTAAAACATATATATATCATAAATTGGATTTGAGTGACCACGGATAATAGGACCAATCATCCTAAAGATGCTCAGCAGAGGTAGGAATACCTGTGGGTCAAAATTTGTTCTTCTTTTTTTTTGAGGACAACAGTTTCCTTCTAACACAGGCTGCCCAAATAAACAGCAATCTTTGATAAGGAAAAGCATCTCACTAGAGAACTTTTTAGTGTTATGTAAAAGAGCAGTCACAGGAGACACATGAAGAAAAGGAATGCCAGCACGATGGAACTTCACGCCAGTGTGTGAAAAAGCTTCTAGCTCCAGCACATTAGTCTTGGTTCTGAAAAGTATGTGACAGTGCTCCCTGTAGGTTTTCTGGCCACCATACCACTCCACCAACGAATGAAATCCATTTTATTTATTTAAGTGACAAGTGCTCCCACTCATAGGACAAAGAAGGCTTTAGATTCAAAATGCACCAAAAAAATGTACACTGATAAGGCCAACCAAATGGCCAGTTAATAAATGGGTTTACATCATCAAACACCAGATCAGTGTCCTCTACTGGTTGGACATTGGTGAAACAGCCCCATTGGCTGGGAAGAGGTGTGGGCCAAAGTGGTTATGTTCGTCCTTGCTCCTAAACATGGAGAAGCCTGCAGACTCCAGGTGGAGTATATCTTTACCTACCTGGGAGCACTAGTAAGTTTTTCCAACATGATTTCCAAAAGGACCGCCTCCGGAAGACGGCATTTCCAGGAGTGACGCTAACGCTTCCTAGGTGTGGTTTCGCTGGCACTGCAATGTCATTCCCAGAAGTACTACCTTCAGGAGGCGGGTCCTGGTGGGAATGATATCACAGTATGACAAGTATTGTCAGCATACCTGTGAATAGGCACAGAAAAGTGGGTAACAGAACACCTGCACGTCTGTGACCAGAGCCTAGGACATTCCACTCTAGCTGTACCTTATCTCCTTGGTCTTCTTGAAGACGGGTTTTCCTTCTTTTTCCTCTCCAATATCAAAAAGGTCTGAATACAACTCCTGGTTCTTATGGTCTACCTGGAAAAGTGCACAACGATCTGCATTCACCAGGTTTTTTGCATATATCTAAAGACAAATGACAAAACAAGAGTAAGACAATGAGGAATTTAGAAAACTTTCAGGTGAAATTTATCATGAAATAAATATTAACTTCAGGTCTTCCATACCTTGATTAGGAATGAAATTAGTGTTTTAAATAAATCAACATATAGGTAAATTGTGTGTGTGTGTGTGTGTGTGTGTGTGTTACTGTTGTATGCTAACAGTAACAGAGCAACAAGAACAAATAGTTCAAATGCATCCACAGTTTCAGCTGGATGCAGAAACAGTAAAACACTTTCACACTGCTTGTAAATGGCTACTGAACTGATTTCCTATGAACTTTCAGCCATCTGAAACACTCTTCTAAAACCACTCAGGCATCTCCTGGTGGGTTGGTCTGAGCCTTTGTTAGCTGACAAAGCCAGTATTCATTCTAACTAACGCTTGTAAATAATATTTGTAAAAACTATGTAATGTAACCTTTTAAGAGACATGCAGTTTGACATGGATATTAGTTGAATTTTATTCACCATGGTATTTAGTAACTTGTAATAATTATTAAATATACAACTTATGCCAGGTACATTTACTGTACTTCTGCATATTAATTTACTCAATTCTCACAATAACAACATCGAATCGAGAAAAAATGCTATCCCCACTTTACAAATTAGAAACACTGATGTACTGAGAAGCAATCTGACTTGACCTCCCTCTCTCAACAGTGAGTCTAGTGTTTGAACTCATACTCACTATTCCCACTGCCAATGCTTTTGTAACAAATACGTGCTTCCATTTCTTAATGGAAAACGTGTTTGTTATTCATTTGTTCATTCATTTAATTCAATAAATATTTCTTTAGTGCTAAATATACCTCACTGTCCTTAGTGGGCTGGGACCCAGTCATGTCGTGAATACAGTATTTACATACACTGAGAATTCTGGCAACCTCACCTCTCCAGATCGTTAGCCATGAAATTATTCCTTAGGAAAAGAGGACCTAAATCTCAGAGAAAAACAGCTATCACAAAATCTGTGCAAGAGAAAAATGAGCCTCCTTGTGGTCAGGGAAAAACATAAAATCTCATGTAAAACTAAATTATAGACTTAATAGAAATAAATCAGAGCACTTCATGTTCACTTCACTTGACTACATGGCTGTGTTAGTTGCTGTTATCGATTTGTATTTATTTGTTCAGGCTACAAATATTGGTTTTGCCTATAATGGGGGAACAGAGCACATAAAGTCCACAAGCATCAGAACTTCAGTTTCCTTCTTGCCTCCATCAGCCAGTCAACCCTGTGACAGTAACAAATGCTTCTTCTGTCTACAGTATTTTAGATTTCTGGAACAAAGCCTCGCCTAGGGGACACTAACTACAGTCAAGGAGGCAAGCGTGTGTTTTTAAACAAAGTTCAGTGGGAACCCAGACACTTCCATTCGTGTCTTGTTTATGGCTGCCACATCTGCAAGGGAGCACGACCCATAAAATAAACACGCTCTTTATTAAGACAAATAAGTGTGCCAACTCCTGGCTTCCCCTCTGTGGCATTTGTGCAACCTAAAACTCAATATTTGATGAAGAATAATGAACAAAAATAGAGAAAGCAAAGGGAATGAACTGTTGGGAATACAGTAGAGTCATTCATGTATTTTACAAATTCATAGGACCTTGAATTATTCAGTCACAATATCCTGTACTATCAAAGATTAAATTATATGCAGTGAAATCTACATCCCTATTGTCTAGGGTCCTGGATGTTGCTTGGGAAGTATTTTGGAAAACATACACTAAAAATTTTAAAAATCTGGATTAGATGAATAATTTTTTAAGAAAAGAATGACAAGTTTAGAACACTCTAATATGAACTTAACTATAATCATAAAATGAATTCAAAAATTCTTGAAGAAAGATCCACATAAAAGACACCAGGCCAGAGATGTAGCTCAGTGGCACAAGTGCCTGCTTGGTAAGTACAAGGTCCTGCCTTTGATTTCCAGTACCAAAAAAAAAAGTCTATATTGAAAAAAAGTCACATAGCCCATAGTTTAAAATATGAATTCTTTAAAAAACTTAAATTTCCAAAAGTTCATACTATTCGGAATTCAGAAATTAACAACTTTTATGACCCTGCTATGTCAGTGATACTGAAAAATGACAAGCTATAAAAGAAAATCATAGGCCATTTACATTGAAACAAGTAAAATTATAAATAAAAATGATATCAAATGTATCAAGTGAAAAAATATTAAAATATTTTAGAATTTTTTTTCAGAACTGCTCAGTATCATAAAGTACTATAATTCATTCTAGAATTTCTACAATGATGCCTGGTTGTTCACATCTGTTCAGTATTATAAAGTCTATTATAATTCATTCTAGAATTTCTATGATGACTAAATTCAGCAGCTATCCATGATGAAATCAGTAATAAAATGGAAAAGAAGGGTCTGGGATAAGCTTAGTGACCTTGGTTTCAATCACCAAGATTGCAGAAAAAATTCAGTATCTATATAAGGCTTAATATTTTTTAAACTAATCATCTACATAATACTAAATAATATAATATGAGTAAAATATCAGAACCATTCCATTAAGGCTAAGAAAATGACCTTAATGAATAAAACATAGGTAAAGTATAATTATTAATGTGCAGTTAGGCAAGAAAAAGACATGGCGTGTGTGTGTGTATGTATGTGTGTGTGTGTGTGTGTGTGTGTGTGTGTGTGTATCTGAAGAGACAGAAGTTTCATTGTTTGCTGCTAATATTAATAAATTTGTCAAAAAATATACAAAAAGGACTTAAAACAGTACCTGGACACAGTCTGGTGATAGAAGCTGCACTTGCCAGACAAAAGCTTATGCCACTGAGCTAAGTTTGAATCCCACTACCAAAAAACAAACAAAAAAACCCAAAAAACCCTATACATATTGTGGTAATAGAGTTTACCAAGTCAACCAATTGTTTACACATAAAGCAAAATAGACAACTTCAGAAGTGCACAGTACTCAGCGAATTCCTATCACTGGACTCTGTTGAATGGGAGCTGCGCTCAAGTAGAAAGACATAGAGACCGATGTGAGGAAGCAAGGGCAAGTCAATTCCAAGAACGACTGGTGAACAAAAGCATCACCAGTATTATACTGAAACTATAAAGTTTGTTGCTAAATAACTTCTAAAATATTAGAGGTAAAATACAAAAAGAATAATTTTAAAAACAGTGATGGGGTGGGGTGAGGATATAGCTCAGCAGCGCAGTACCTGCCTGGCAAGCACAGGGTCCTGAGTTTGATTCCCAGTATCAAAATTAATAAAAAAATAAAAATAGAATTAATGCATGAGTAATGCCTGCCATAAACATTCATATATGCAAAAAATATGGAGGGGGAGCAAGTAAGAAGGCAAGTAAAGAAAATTTTGTGAAATGAGTGATCTAAGACACTGATGGCTAATTAATCTTGTTAGAAAACTCCACTATACACGTAAGCATAAGGCTAGCAGAGCGTACCTGTCATGGCATGAGGACAGCTGACTGGAAAAAGCAGAGCTCACAGTGGAAACTTAACAGAGGCTCACACACACACACACACACACACACACACGCACGCACGCACGCGCACACACACAGACACACACACAGACACACACACGCACGCACACACACACAGAGACACACACACACACGCACACACACACACACAGACACACACACACAGACACACGCACGCACACACACACAGACACACACACACACACACACACACACACGCACGCACACACACTGGAAATACAGGCAAGTCCTCATGCTCAATAATTTAAAAACTCTGAATATTTAAGGGTTTTTCAGTGAAGTCAGCCTGTAAATTCTCCCTTTTATTTTCTCAAACTGATTTTAGTAGATGTGTTTAGATAAGAATACTGACATATCCAAAAATAAGTTAAAATTAACCTGAAAGTTTAATTTGCTGATTCTCAACTAGCAGTGGACACACTTGGCCACAGAACATCTGGAAACAAATGGAGGGCCATGGCTTGGTGACGCAGGTAAGGAGAAGGTCCTCACAGTGTTCATTCCTTTGGGGCAAAGGATGCTATCCTGACCATGCACAAGATCATCTTGTTAAGGACAAACTGCTTCTCCAAAATGTGAGGATCACCCTATTGAGAAACTGAAGTAGATAGAATAATTTCCTAGGAACTTACAGATAATCCAGATTTGCTCACCCAGAAAAATGAAATCTGATCTTCATTATGAAAAGGCCTCTCAGAAATTCTAACCTCACAACTAATTGATCACAACCAGTTACAGATTTCTTTGTTCCTTCTCCACTCTACTGCTTCACTTGACTAGCCTTTAAAAAATAAAAATAAAAAAAAGTAATTCTAACCTCATTCCCCTCATCTCTCTTAGTTTAACCCACAATTCTATTTTCAAAAGACAAATCTGATCACATACACTCTGGCTTCCAAGCCTCAAAGTGAACAACACTTTCATTCAGGCTGATGTTGTAGGCTTTCCGGTGAGCCACAAAAACTGCTAATATTAATAAATTTGTCAAAAAAATATACAATACAATACAAAGTTTATACAATAAACTGTGGTTTTCTAAACCACAAAAACTGCTGCTCCCTTCTCTGGGTCCACCTTGGTTTGGTCACCGCCACACATCTGGACGTTGGTGACAGCATCAAAAAAGCCTGCCCCACCTTCCCGTGGAGGTCAGATCTGCATGAGCATTCCAAGCACAGCCTTCACATCCAAGCCCTACTTGTGACAGCACTTTTACATTCCCCTGATACTTGATTTGCGTCTGTCTCCTTGTAAACTCAGCAAGAGCAGAGGCTGTCAAGGATTCATCATTTCATCACTCCTGCTATTTACTACCTGCTAGAGGAACTGATTGGAGATAACCAAGAAACAAGACACCAGACTATCCTCATAAGGGAAAAAAATCGGACTCACATTTGTAAATAACGCACTGTCTCTCTAGTAAAAAATAATAAAAACTGAAAGAGGAATAAGATCCAAAAAGGAAAAGAAAAGAAAATTTGAAGAGATAAACACCACAAATGAAATCAGAAGGAGAATCAGAGGTTTGTATCCTAATAAGATCCAAATAGATTTACAGCTAATTTATATCAAATTTTAAAGTAATAAATAATTCATAGATTATTTAAACCACTTTAGTCATAGAAAAGAACAGAACATTTCTTAACTCATTTTGAGTGTAGCATAATTCAGTATCAATAGTACCACCAACAGAACATAAGAAAACCGTTGAACAATGTTACGTAAAGCAGATGTCAAGTTGAAAATAAATACTACAAGAAACCCATGAGTTAAGAATATATTATAACTGAATATGTTTCACACCAGCTATGTAGAGTTTTTCAACATTACGTGATAATACTGAATACACTGAATGATGATACATGAATTATAGTTCAAAAATATACTTCTCAAACAATATTAATAATAAAGGGCTAACCTTTTATTAAGGTGCTTCTTATGTCACTAATCTAAGTGGTACATCAGTGTATATTATGTATTTCTATTCTTAATTCTATTCCCAGCTGTACAAATTCTGAACATTTTTCTATAAAAGAAAAGTTACTTAAATGTACAATTAATTATTTTTTCATGTGAAACTATTAAGATAACAAATCACAAAAGGAATGTACTGAAATCAGTAACCCCTACTGCTAACATGTGATTGTTCTCAATTAACTTGCTATCTCTACATGACCCTGTACAATAATACAGGACATTTATTTTTATAATGTCAAGGAAAAATAAAACAATGCATATCAGGCTACCTCTCTGTGAAGAAACTGCTTATTGCAGTCGACTGTATTTTGAAAATGGACCATAAAATGAGAAATAAAAGGCGCTTTTATCAAATTGCATGCATAGCAGGGCATAAATATTACCATATGTGTGGCTCACACATTCACTATTTTGAGGACTGGGAACATAGGGCATTAAAATAGTAACATAGCAAATATGGTTTTATCTCTGTTTCTTATGCCTTTTGGCTCAAAGTGCCTGTTTGGGTAGAGGGATAATTAAGATTAAAGTTAAGCAAAATGAACTTTAAGATCAAGAAGAAACAATTGGGAATCCCTAATACAACTTATATGCAAAAAGTACCTATATATAAAAGCAATGAAAAAGAATTAAAAGTCTTTTCAAAGCTCACCTCTCTGTTAAATAAAGGAAAAAAGACTGTGAAGTTTTGTAAAAATGTTATCCATAGCACCTTTCCCTAAATTTCAATACAAGTGACAAGTATACCAAAATGGATTTTTAAGCACCACATTTTCATAAAATGTACTTAAAAGAATCTATTCCTAATATGCACAAGATGTCACACACATATTAGGATCGTGGATTAAAATAAAATCATTTTAAAAGAAAAAAGTGACCTACCATTATGTGTTCAAGTAGGGAATCTATTGCAACTATGTTATCGAAATATGTTCTGAAAAACAGAAACATAAATCTTGTAAGTATTCTATTTGATGTCTAGTACATATTAAACTTTTAACACATTTTCTAGATTTGTCTATATGTAAATAAGCATGAATATATATGTTTTTTGATTCTTGTCCTTTTGTAGAAACAATATTTTCTTAAAGAAATAAATTAAACTTTATTATTGTCTTAAAGACTCTGGTTCCTTGCCTGGGATTTAGCTCAGACACATAGATGCCTGCCTGGCTAGAATAGCCAGGTAAATATAAATGTAAATATATCAGTCAGAGCCGTGGATTACTTTCCTTTCCTTGTGCTTTGAAGTAATATAATCAGGCATCCTAGAGATACATTTAAATTTGTTTTTAAAAAGATAGTTGGCTTAGGTGACCACAAAATAATTTCATCAGTTTTACATTTCTCTATTTTTACATTTCACAAAATAGAGGTAATATGAACTCAAGGCTAATCATTCACAAGTATTCCAATACTTTTGAGAGGTACTATTATTATGCCACCCCAGCAACGTGGAAGCTACAATTATACTTCTTAAAAACTGGGGAAGAATATGAGCATTATTCCTTTAGTAAACTTGCAGGAGGATGTGTCCTTGAGGTTGCCACATGCTGGGATGTTTTTTAGGTTTTGATGATTAATGTGACAGATCAGATACATAGATCTCTCCTGAAGAAAGCAAAACAAACATCAACCTGGAATTAAATAAGTATCTATAATTACTTTCACCACCAACCTGAGGTATTTTTTCTAGATCAAACTTCAGGGAAATGGAATATTTTGTCAAAAGATATCTGAGATACTAGACACAGAAAAGTTAAAACACTTAACACTGTTAAAGTGACATTTACTAGAAAATGCCAGACAGGGCATTTGGAAGAAATTTTAGTGAGACACTTCTACTGCTGTCAATATTCTCCTAAAAAGTATAAGTTTTTAGCGTACTCTTAGCATTCTAAGAGTCTATTTCGAAATATATCAAATTGAAAATCAAGCTCATGACATATGTATCTGCAATTCCTCACTTAAGATGGATTAGGATATAATTTTATATTCTTCCCATATTACTTCTATAATAAAGTTATTGGTGGTGGCTGCAATCTATCATCATCAAGACCTGCATGTAAAACCACTGATTAATAAAAGTACTGCATCCCTTGGAAGGAGCACTTACTTTGATACATCTAGTAGAAAGTCATTCAATTCAGTCTGTTTGGCAAGACCTCTGCATACCTGCCATATAAAACAATGGCTGTTATAAGACACTTTCACTTATTTAAAGTAGGACTTTCAGAATTAGTATGATATATAACAATCATTAGGCTGATCACATAATACCAGTTACTATTAATGTTTGAGCACTGATGTACTAGATACAGTTCTGAACATTGTATAGTTATCTCATTTAGTAACCACATAACTATATTTGAAACTTAACACTTGATTACTGAGCACAAAGAAGTTAAAAACCTAACCTTACTCAGGAATCAGAGTTACTAGGTAGTAGAGCCAGCATTTAGATTTAAAGTAGATTACCCCCTTTTGCTGTTCACAATTACTTCATACTTTAAAAAATTGTAATTAGGAACATAATCTACCTATACTTGGTAATCTCAGGAGTCCTTGCTATTCATTCTACATACTACCCTAGTCCTATTTTTCTATCATACAGTTCCTCATCAACCTGGGTTTCCCTTTCCTGAAACAGTAAACAAGACAAATGGAGGGAGAAAAGAGAAAACACAGAGACACAAAATGCTACATTGCTATTGTGTTCCTGAACTTTAAAGTCTAGTTACCAGGGAAACTTTAAGTAGCCAGTGATTCTTAATTTATACCATATTTTCATAGTAACTATAGGTCTTAAAGTTAGGATTAATGCTTCGTTTACAATTGAGTCTATAGGATAATCTAAATTAGGGAACAAAATCATAAAAATATTAACAAACTTCCCAGTAGGAGATTGTTTCTAGGGTTTCAAAGAAAGGCAAAAACCATAGTGGGGCACATTATCATTTATTGCATATATGATTTATAAAATATAATCTATATGGAGAGAGAAAACATAACTGAAATGTATTTAAGAGGAATAAGTAAATATAGGAGAACAAACAAATACAAATTTTTAGAAACAGTGAAATATCAAAATATAAAGTGCTACATTATTTATTAAGCTGTATTCTACTCCCAAATGCTCAAAGTAGTCATCTGTCAAAGAAGGGCAACTATAAACCAAGCCTGCAGACCCACCTGCACCTGATGTATTGCTACTGAAGCCCAGGCAAGATTTGCTGTTGCAACCTAAAACAAAAACAATAAAAATATTATATGTAATAAAGTTTTATTAGTCACACAATGACAAATTTTCTGAGGTCACTGTGCTTTTGAATATTTTGTGGAAAATAAAGTACCAGATATGAGCAAAGTTTCTCTTTTATAATTTCCCCTTATATTGGATTTGAGTTTAATGTTCTCTTCTTCATCTTAAAATTGGGTAAAATGCAAGCTCAATTGATTAACAGAGCTGCTGCCCAATCATTTTAAAATAAAAGTGAAAATCATTCAGTTTAACAAAAATATTATCAGGTTTCCAAAGACCATTTTAAATTATGCATTTCTAAGAAGCAAATGTTATGTGTATACAGTTGCTGACAAGTTTTCAAATTACTATCTGTTCTACATTTTAAAAACTGTTTATTCATGTAACACATACTTCTTACTGGGTGCCAGGCAGCATTCTGTGTGCTGGAGGCAGAGCAGTAAAAACAGAATGGCCAGAGCACTTCCTGTCCTCACTGGGAATGGGTCAGATAACAACAGAGAAAGACAGCAATGTGTAGGCATCGGGGGCAACAGATGCCACAGGAAAAACAGGCAGGACAGAGGAAAGGGCACTCCGGAGCCCTCAGTGCAGGTGAGAAGCAAGGTGGTAACCATTCATGACCCCAGACCCAGGTTGGGTGAAAGAGATGGGCTCACTCGGTCAGTGGACAGCAAGAGGCCACTGCAGGGCCCTGGTTCACACTGGATGTGAGAGAGCTAACATTTTAGGATCTGGGGCTAGCATTCATGAGCCAACTCTAATTCAGTGAATAGGGAATGTCTTTCTGATACGTTTAACCTTAAAACTTTTTTTTTAGAACACAATACAGCAAGAGGACTTTTTAAGAAGACATAAAGATAACTATTAGGTAAAAACTTTTCCAAGTCCTCCTACTGGTTTATTTGATTCAGGGCGTGACTTAATATTATTGGTAAAACATTTTATTAGAGAGAAAAGATGACATTTCTAATTTAATCAGTTCCTCATATAAAGAGCTGCAGAATCAGTTTCTTTTAAATCATTATCAGAACCAAGACACTGTGAAGCAAACTGCGGTTTTAAATATTCATTCACTCATTCACACAATATTAACAGTCACCAGAGATGAGCTAGCTGTGGCACCAGTCCTAGGCAGCAGTGTGCCAGGCCTCACCTCCTGATGACTGAGGCAGAAGGCATCCTTGCCCCAGTACCGGTACAGCTCGAGAATGCCAATCAAATCACCAATTGCAGTGACAATTGGCAAGCAGAGAACAGACTGGATACGAGGCCCTGATTCCAGTCCAGTACCATTTGGAAATCGCTCGTCCTGAAAAGCAAAAGCGGAAAAGACATAAATTCAGTAAGAAAAAAACAAGTTATGTTATGCCCTCTTTCTATCATAGATGGGGGGAATGATACGGTGAACTTTTTTTTTTTTTTTTGGTTCTGGATATTGAACTCATGACCTCGCATTTGCCAGGCAGGTGCTTATGCCATTGAGCTAAATCCCCAGCCCCTGTGGACTTAATAATAAATTCTTTTCAAAGGAAAACCAAATGATGGCATTTACAATATATCTTGTTCAAAATGCCTAGTGTTAGCAATATGGAAATTATCCCCCAATACTGCTTCAATGTTGCTTTATCCTTATACAGTCTACATTTTACGAGTAAATAGTGTATGTGAATTCGATGCAATAATAATAGTAATTATAAAGACTGATGCTCATGCATCATCTTCCATGCCAGAACTATCCAAGCCTTCACAGATATAATGTGGTAGTGAAAATCACTTTTCATGCAAACGCTACATGAAGAATATTACATATATACATCTTTTCTATTTTTAAAGTGAGAATAACATGAAGATCTATGTTGACAAGTCAGTTTAATTAAAATTCAAAAGCCCATATTAAGTATTCAAATATCTAATAAGTCTCAATTATTTACTTTATTTAAGAATAGAAATTGGGGGCCGTGGATTTAGCTCAGCAGCATAAGCGCCTGCCTGGCAAGCGTGAGGTCGTGAGTTCAATTCCCAGTACAAAAAGAAGACTAGAAATTGGTTTGCTGACAAGTTCCAAGCTTAACAAAATCACGCAAAGGAAGTACAGGGAGATAAGATGAATTAATATCAGAAACACCAACTCTACTTATTCAATTTCTATTATCTATATGAAGCTAATGGGCATGAATCAGAACTTTCTGTGAACCAAAAACAGTATAAATCTATACTTGTACAAATGAAAAACTTACCTATACAATAGACTTTACTTTTAATCTTACTTTCCCTTATCCTCATACTTTCTCTTTTCATAAAAATTAACTACCCAATTATTCAAAGTGATAGTGGTAATCAGTGGCAAAACCACAATTAACATTCAGGTTTCAGGACTCCAATTTACTGCTCTTCCAGTACAAATTCCTTTTATCTATGAACTTCTTTACACTTGTCACATTCAAAGTCATGCTCCTTGTGGAGGCATTTCATTAAAAAGTCTGCATGTATACACCGCAGCAGAGTAACAGCATGATAAGGTCTGTTGTGTTATGTCTGTCTGCATCCAAATCACTTTTACTCTCCCTCCAACACTAAGTGTGAGCCTGCTCAGGTTATCTGTTCTGGCTTATGGGAAGACAAGAAAGTTGATTTGGCACAAATTTGAAAACCTGCAATTTCACTTCTCCCAGGTTCTTTCTACCATGCAAGAGCACGTCTGGCTGGCCATACTGGAGTGCAGTGAGAGATGCACAGAGAGCTGAGGCCATCTGAGAGCAGCAGTAGCCAGCGCTACCTGCTGGCCTGCTGACCTCACACTCATGGGCAAGACTAGCCAATGGCAGCCAGAACAGCGGAAGGGGCTAGACCTGGGACTCATGAGAAACAAGTGGCCATGAGACTCACAAGAAATAACAAGTAGCCACTGTACGACACCACTAAAATCTGGGGTAGTCTGTTATACAGCAACTATTAACTCACTCAAGTACATCCCGGCAAGATGTACAGGGTCTCACTATGTAGTTCAGTCTGGCCTTAAACGCACTGCCATCCTCCTGCCTCAGCCTCCTTAGTGCTTAGACTACAGGCAAGTGCCACCATGCCCAGTAGAAACACATATTTCTGAGTTTAAAGTTAGTAGCATATATTGAAATAAGAGCTCTTCAAATCTATCTCACAGTGCATACACAAAATACAATTTTTGAAGTATAAACATTAATTTAAAAACAAATTCATTACACATCTGTAACTTGATTTAATATTTATCATGTTTATGAAAATGCTTAAAACAATATCAAAGTAATACATTCTCTCTTTTAAGTAAATACTTCAGTTTAGAACTGTCACAAAATTGAAAACCCTTTACCCCAAGGATGTCTTCTACGAGCAGGGTTTTCCTGGACTTGGCCACATAAGCGGAGATGGTAGTGCCCTGGGTTATGGGCCCTGCAGGGATGAGCCGGGGTTTTCCTTCCTTTATTCCAGGTGGTGTGAATACGCACAGACTCTAGGATAGGAAAGGGAAAAAAGAATGTATTTTCTAGGCTATCCTGTATACTACACCAAATGACACCTGGGTATTACTTCATACCTATGAAAATTCTGTGAGCCAAATAAAGGAGAAAACACAGATGAGGAAAGGTGAATAAATAGAAGTATCTGTTAAACTAAGGGAAACTCTCGCTCATGTTTCTAATTTATGCAAAATACAGGTTTGAAATGTTTAAGGACTTAAATGAATAGACACAGAAAAATTCTTGAAATAGACTCCTGCTTGATACCTAGAAATAGTAAAACGAGAAAAAAACTACATCCTTAAAACTGTCACATCGTAAACCAAGGCAGAGATCAAACTCCCCTTACACTTGAACAGCATGTCTGAAGACAGCACAGGCAGCTGTGAGTCAATGCTTTGCCTGTGCTTTTCATTTTAAAGAAAAGTATTTCTTCTAAAGATCATTATTTTTTAAGATTCAATTGTTCACACTGCTTAAACTGACATGTCACAAAGTGGCACATTCAGGACATGCTTGAAAAATTTGTCCTCCTCTGTGTAAAATTATGATAACCTTATGATCCTTCTCTCTCAAATGACTGAACAGGAGAGCAGTATTTTCAAATACACCTGCTTTCAAAAATATCAGGGTCAGTTCTTTTGACAAAATCGAATCTTTTTTAAATAACTGGGTTAAGTTAAGAACTGCCAACTAAAACAAATCACCTAAGTTGGCAGGCACTGTTTAAACATAGTAGTATCATGATAGTCTTATTTTTAAAATATTAAGCACCCTATACTGCACTTTACTTTTAGGTTAAATGGCATTGGTATGATTTAAAGGTTAATGACTCTGAAGCAATAAATGCCAGACAACTGACAACTCTCTTAACATAAATTGCAATGAATGGTGACTATTATTCCTATTAATACTTGCTGTTTACTAGCACAGCTCTAAGATGAATGAGTTTTGAGCTTTGTAACATTAGAGAACTCCTTCTTCAAATATGTCACACTCACCAGTGAAGGAGCTCTGTACCTTCAAACTCCACGCTCAAGTCAATAAGGAGTCAAAGGGAGAGGCGAGCATTGGCTTAACTCTGGCATCTTTAAATAAATCACCATTATAAGGAACTAGGAACTAAATTCAAGACATATTTGTTCCCAAGCATGTCCTCACAGTTAGGACTATGGCTAATTAGCATTTGCTATTAAGGGCAATGCATGTGGAAAATATACCTAAGTGGTTCTTTTGTAAAGGATTAAACCTAATTAATACAGTATGTTTCAGTACTGGGCATACACTTAGACCTATCAAAGTTTTTTTATTTTGTTTTGTTTTGTTTTGTTTTTTAATTGGTACTGGGATGGAACTCATGACCACCTGCTTGCAAGGCAGGTGCTTATGCCACTGAGCTAAATCTCCAGCCCCTGGGCATACACTTACAAATAATATGTACAGGATGATAAAATTATTTTTAGAAGGGTACAAATAATTTTGTCACTGCTTTTATTTTTGGCTGCTGCTTTTAAAGTTGTGCTTCTAACATGTACCAATACATATACGGCATAGAAGACTTTCATTAGGTTTGGTACTGATCAGTGGTTGACCATAAGTCAGGCATCACCTTTTCTTACAATTGAGAGAAAAGTAGAAAAAATGATTCAAGAACAGGGAAGAGAGATGAATGCAAGAAAACATTAAAAGTGATGTTATATTTAGCCTGAATAAAAACCAGAATTGACAATTATTTTCTCAAACTAAGGGAAAGTCATAAAGAGGATGCTGAGCAACTGTTCCTTTGCCCTACCAAGACAGAATTACAGGAAATGAACTTAAAGTGAACTGAATGGTTTAGAGAACTCTTAAAAAGGAATGTCCTATTAATGATAAAGTAAACTCTGAAGCAAGTTTCCAATAGTAGCTTTGGATTTTTCTCTTTTTCTTTTTCTCACCCGAGCCCTCGGCATGTAATGGTTTAATTACTTTATGCTTTATAACACATTTATGATTTGGAAAGACAAGTCTTGCCCTAGTTCTTTTTTTTTTTTTAATTTTATTTAAGGAGAAAAGAAAAAAAAAGCAGAGAAAGGGTACAAGTTATACAGATTTGCAGAAAAAAAATGAACAGTAGGAAATTACTAGTTAATGGATTACATATTGTCATCTTAGAAATAATTGTTCAAGTCACAAAATTAAAGCTTGTAAAGTGGACATTCCATCAATGATACTGCAAACAGTTCTGTTCAATGATCCAATAAAACTCTGTGATATCATATTCTATCTTATACACTTAAAACATACATGCAGTTATATAATTTAGAGCACTTTCTTTTCCTCTCTTTTGTACAATGACTATTACACATTTTGGGTTTCATTGTTCTCACGGTTCTTATTACTTTTTTGGAAGAGAGTAAAACCAAATGTGACATAACAGAACAGAATCGGTCAAGTCAAAAGGGTGGACATAATAGATAATGTGAAAACATAATACAAGGTGATCAACAATGGTAATACCTCAAAATAATTATAACTTATTTTGTAAAATACAGTTTGCCTTTTTTCCTTGGAGGGTCTCTATTAATGCATTAATGTAAAGAAAACAAACTATTTTTCAACAGCAAGTAAAATAATTATTGTACTAAAGATTTAATTGATGTATTTAGGTCAATAAGAACAAAATAGTATAATCATTATTTTCATAGAGGGATACATGAAAGTATCAGCAGACAATATTTTGTAGTGTTAGTACTCCTGTGTATGTGTTTATGCTACCTGATTTATCTATAAGAGCCACTGATTAATCAAATGTTAAAAGGTAATCCCTACTCTAATTCTGTGTAAATTTATATAACATTTATTAATAAAGCATTTTTAGAGACCAAAGATAAATATTACACCTAAAAATGGAGAAAAGATCCAAAGTCCTCAGCTCCAACTATCTCTGTCTTTTCTATAGAAAAACTCAGCTGCCCTGCAGGTTTTAGCTGCAGGGAGGGCTCCTGCCATTCCTGAGCCCTGCAGAGCTCTTGAGGTGACCTGACCCTTTATCTCCCCTCCCAAGTAGAAGGTGAGAGATGGCCCAGAGAGTGGAAATGAATCCAAATTCCAAGAAAGGACCTGAGGAAAGTTATGCAATTTTTTGAAGAAACTCATTATAAACTGGTCAAAATTATATGCTAACAGCAAAATTTTACGTTTTTAAAAGTTATTTAAACTACAAGAGATTGGGGGTTGAGGTCAAAACCAAAGGGTTGGGCTCACTGAAAGGGCAAAATATTCAAATTACAAAAGTTCTGGAAATATAAATGAATTTTGTGGAAACTGAACAAGAAAACAGACACACAATTTATAAAAAAAAAGAAATGGAATAATCTAATCTAATAGAAAATAAATAAATAAATCTATTTCACTTGCTAAAAACATTTTATCTTCATTTTTACATACAATTCAAAGATCATTTTATTCTTAAAATTTCATTTTAATAGTAAAACACAAATTTTAGAAATACTTGCTAGAAGGAAAAAAACGGGCTGCTATTTTCTTACAGGACACTAGATGGCACTCGATAGTAAACAAATTTAGAGCTGTGTGAGCCATTAGCAACCCACATTGACCTACAACTTGAAATAAACCTGCTAGAGTCCATTATACAATTGTGAAATCACACAATTAATACAAACTACCACTCCAAATACAAGCCATGAAATACCAGGAAATTTTAAGGTATATGTACTAAAGTTAAAACATGGATTCCTCTCTTAATTTTTTCCTCCAATTTGTATCTCAAACAACAAATGTATTTTTTCAGTTTTGGGGTAATAAAAATCAGTGGACATGAAGGAAGGAAAATTCTATGTCTTTAAATTTAACAGGGCAGGAAGAGTACAACCGTATCACTGAGGAAAGCATATAGAGTAAAATCCCCTGTAGTCTCTGGATTAAGCTCAAGGAAAGACTAGTTTTTAAGTAGCCACATGAAGCTAGACAGACATTTATCACACCAGACCCACTGGTTACCTTAGTACTAAAATGACAAGACTAGATAACTTTGAAGCATCTCTTTTAGTTTAGTATTCTATGAATATAGATTGCTATAACTAGCCACTTGGGTTTACAAATAAAATAAAAACAATTGTTTAATCAAACCTGTAAATCTTGGGAGAAGTTATACAAAATCAATATATGAAAAGCTATTTGTGGCTTTACTTTGGAAGTGAAATTTTAAAGCATAGTTGAACTCCATAAAGTTTATAGCTCTTAAAGCTATGAATCACACATGAAAAATCATGACAACATTGTCATACATCAACTAGAATATGTGACTAAGTATAAATGGATGAAAAGGATTAAAATCAGTAAAAATCTGAATTATGCAAAAATGTAATCTTTTTTTGTTACAAAATATCTCAACTGTACCTTGTATGTCAGACACTGCAAAGGCCAGGTTATAAAATTTATTGTGTTAAGTAATAGCTCCAGAGTTCTCAAAATCATTTTTTCTGTCTAAAGAAGTCCCTCACTTTTCATCTATAAGGTGACAGGTCTTAAAATATGTACTCAAATATTAGCTTGTCCCACATTTCTTTTTATATCATCCAGTGCCATCAAATTCATGATCCCAAGCATTTAGTACTATAAGAGATCATGTGCTGTAACTGTTGGATTTTTTTTTTTTCTCTCTCCCTCTGGTTGTACCCTCTTTAATGAAAGAAATATTTTCTTTTTTATTTATCTCTGTACACTCAACAATTTCTGGTTACTCAGCAGGTCTTTAAAACGGTTTGTTGAGAAAATACCATTTATAACTTTTAACCAAAAGAGTATAACTTAAATTGAAAATTTAAGAATCTTGCCAAAATTACAGTTACTAAGTGACCAATCAGAATTCACAGACCCAATTCCAGAACCAAAAGTTTGTTCAAAGCTGAACTGCTTCCTGGAGAGTTTCCTTCTTCCCCTCAGCCCTGGGGCAGTGTGGTTAGCACAGGCATTTTCCTTGCTAGGTGTT